TTCTAGGCAAACTGATTTATGAGATACTCAGACAATTTCCAGGAAAAGAATGGAGGGGCTTCCTTGTAACAAGAAATCTCTGACACATCTGGGACCTCAGTGATATTTTATTCAGAAAGTACCCAAGAAATTGGGAAGGATTAGAATTAGAATAAGAAAAAGAAAAAGAGATTTGGAGGACGGAGTAAAAAAGCCACCACCTCAAATAGTTCAAGCATGGGAAAAAGCAATGTGTCACAAAAGGGCATGCCGCCATTTTGTGGTCATCAATTGGCAAACATCCTCATCTACTCTGTCAACTCCTACAGATTGATGGTGGATGCCTGGAATCTTGAGTGAGAATTATGAGGCCAAGTCTTACCCAAAGGGAATAAGGATTCATGATTGATCAGTGAATTCTTAAGAAGCTTCCCTGGTGATTCACTTATTCATTGACACATTTGACAAATAACCACTGAACGCCTATATGCTAGGAAGTGTGTGAGGCCAGAGATACACTGGAAGTTACTAAGGTCATGAGGTCATACTCTCAGGCCTCTTGGAGCTCAGACATTAGCATGACAGTTATTGCTATAGTCATCACAAAAACAAGGACAAGATTTGTCTGTTATGAGTGCTATAATCTATATGTGCAATGAGGTACCAATTTGGGAAGATTTGACCCAATCAAAAAACCCAGAAGGCTACCCTGAAGAACTGATATTGGGCTGTGACTGAAGGAATGAGTAGGAATTAACCAGAAAAGATGGAGAAGTGTTCCAGGAAGAGGAAATGGCATAGGCAATGTAGACAGCACGTTGGTTTAATTTTTTTTTAAGATTTATTTATTTATTTATTTGAGAGGTAGAGTTATAGATAGTGAGAGGGAGAGGAGACAAGGAGAAAGATCTTCCTTCGTTGGTTCACTCCCCAAATGGCCACAACAGTCGGAGCTGTGCCAATCCGAAGCCAGGAGCCAGGTGCTTCTTCCTGGTCTCCCGTGTGGGTGCAGAGGCCCAAGCACTTGGACCATCTTCTACTGCTTTCCCAGGCCACAGCAAAGAGATACATTGTAAGAGGAGCAGCCAGGACTAGAACCGGCGCCCAGCACCGCAGGCGGAGGATTAACCCACTGCACCACGGTGATGGTCCCTGGTTTGAATTTGTCCACCCTACACCTAGTGGAGCCAGGGAAGGCTTTTTAGCAGGTAGGGTTGGAGAGTGATGAATGTAACAAGAGATTATGTTTCTTCTCACTGAAGTATGCAGGCCAGTGTGTGTACTTCTTTCTCTTAGACACAGCCAACACTGCGCAGACCAATGGCACAGGAGAGGCCATTCATGTCCAGCTGCATGCCTCCTTACAGCAAGGAGGAGGTGGGATTTGGACCCAATGGCATGCTGCTGGAACTGCCAACCAGTCAGGGAAACATTTAGTCAGGGTCCTGCTCCCACAGTGAGTACCTCATCAGGTGTGGCAGGCGAATTCTGGCATGATTCTTTTTTGTGGCCCCCGGGGAAGTGGCAATGCTTCCCAACCATACCAGCCAAGCTCTTGGAAATCCTTGGAGGCCAGGAGCCTGGGATGCAGAGAGTGGGCTCACCAGGGCAGCTTTAAAGAGGGCAGTCTGGGCTGGTGCTAGAGGGTGCCCTCCCTGCCTTGAGGTTGCAAGGCTGGCGCATTCTGCCTCCCTACTGCAGAGCACTCCTTTCTCAAAAGAAACGGCTCCCAGCAGATCCTGCGCAAGAGAGCTCCACCCCGTTATTCACCACCTCCTCTCCTTATTCACTCCACGCCAGCCAAACTGGCTTCCTTGGTATTACCTAAACATGCCAGCATGCATACTCCTGCCTTAGGGCTTTTGCACTGGCTGTTCCCTCTTCTGGAACACTCCTCCCCTAGATCTCTACTCTGGCATTCTTCTTCTCTCTTAGTCTGCTCTATATTTCTGCTTTTCTATCCTATAATTTACTTATTTATTTTGTTCATTGTCTTTCTCCTCCTGGTTAAAAAGGAAGCTTCATGAGCAAGCTTCCTAGCATATAGGTGTTCAGTGGTTATTTGTCAAATGTGTCAATGAATAAGTGAATCACCAGGGCAGCTTCTTAAGAATTCACTTATCTATTTTGGTAGTCCAAAAAGTACCTGGCACTGAAAGGCAGAGAAAGCACTCAATAAATAACTGTTGAGTTGAATGTGGCACTGGGTCTCACCAAACGACTCCCTCAGTTCCCCACGTCCCTGGGCAGAATGGGAATCACCGGCTGGAACTGGATTTCTCTGCTGACATCTATGAGGTATGTAGGCTAATCCATGGCTCGTATTGTTGCTTAGGAAGACACTGTTAATCCTAGCTAACATCAAAGTATCACCACTTCTGCAGCTCCAGGGACCACATATGCACTACCAGGTATGGGAAATATGTTGGTGGTTAAGTCATAGAGTCCCTTGAAAAATGACAATGATGCCTTTCTCATGGGGACAGATATCATATCATCTTGGATGCATCCCTAGCATGTGGCAGACAGCCTGGGACATAGTAGTTCAGCAATAAATTGGTTGATTATGGGGAAAGAGGGACATAATGTTTGTAAACTCAGTTATATGAAGGTACTTTGAAGAGTTCACAAAAAAATGGAATTAAAAAGTAAGTTTATTTTTTGTGAAAAAATTGAAACCCATGTGTAGTCCTTTCTTCATATATATACACTGCAGGGAGTTCTTGAAGCCCTCTCACAGGACAAGTACTTGACATAGAGCCTGTCATGTGATTATCATGGTAATTCACACAAAAATATTTACTGAGTGCCTACTATATGTAGTTCAGTAACTATGGGGGCTGCTGAATGACTTCTCAGTTCAGTTACCTGGGATGGTGTCAGCAGTGCAAAGACATTTCCATAGCAGAAACGGAGCACAACAGGCAGCCCAAAGAAGATGGCAACTCTTTTGAGCCTGTATGCATCACTATCTGTGTAGGAAATGGAACAGTCCTGACCCATGGCTTTCCCCTTCTGTTGGTTTGATCTCTGGAAGATGTTGCTCTTCCAAGTTAGCCAGGTAATTAAGACGAAGAAAGAGCTGAGGTCTAGGATGTACCATGCTGGGAGCATATTTACACGGGCTGGACACACAAAACAAGCAAATATAATAAGCACCATGTGCTTTTTTAGTACAGCTTGGGAGTTGGAGTCCAGGGATTCTGATCTTTGTTTTTGTTTGTTTGTTTGCTCTTAGCTCCCTAAGTGCATTGGCATTATTGACATACCATCATCTTTCTGCCTTTTCTGTCATAGTTCAGCAGTGTGGTCTCCAAGAGTTGTAACTCCCAGCTTCGTATCAAAACAGCAATGATGAAATCAAAATTAAACTACCTCTGAGGGTTGGTGGTGATCTTATCAACTGCTAGTAGTAATAGTAACAGAAGTTCACACATATAGAGACTCTACCATGTACCAGGCAGGTGCAAAGCACCCTATATACTTTATACCCTACAACAAATCTCTTGAGTTACTTTATTAGCTCAATTTACAGATTAACAAACTGAGACCCAGAGAGGGTTAGTATCTTGCCAGTGATCACTCAGCTAACAAATGCCACAAGTGAGATGCAATCTAAGCAGGCTGACTTTGAATGCCAACTGTACAAAAGTATTTATGATTGTTTGGCAAAGGAATTCTATAAGCATCATGATGTTTACAACCGTGAGGCCTGAGAAAGACACCCTACTTCTCCAGACCACTGGCTCCTTCTCTATAAGAGCAACAAGGCTTCAGTTTCGCAGGATGTTGATGAGGTCATGTAGGTAAAGCTTTTAGACACATCTCTCGCCCTTGGTGAGAGCTGAAAAATCTGAGTAGTTCTTGATGTGATCAAATAGTCTAAGCCCAAAGACTTAAGGTGGAACCTACTCTTTATGAATGGCCAGAGAATACTCTTAAATGGGTTTGTTGACATCTAAATCATGTTTAGGAAGATCAGGACACCTCACAATTTGTGAGAAATACCTTTTTGCTTGTCCTTCAGACTTCCTTCCTGAACCTAGTGGGGTATATGGAGAGTCAGGGAGACCAATCAAAGCCCAAGACTGCTGTTTACAAGCTGTTTGAGTTTGGACTAGTTATTCCACACTCTGGGCCTCAGTTTTGCCCTCAGAAGAGGGAGACACTCCTGGCTGCTGCATGCAGGGACGCTTGAAGATTGGGGAACAAAATCCATAAGGGACACTGGATATAGAACCTTGCAGAGGGTAAAACACTCAGCAGAAGAGGGTTCCTTTTACAAGCAAATTAACCATCATTCTTACAATCACGATCATTTGTAGAAAGGGTACGTAAGTTCACATAACTTTTCTTGTTCTTTGGTGGACACATGATTTCAAAATTGAATCACCAAAGAACCCACTTGCCTTCTTCACTGGCTCTTTCTCCACAACAGCCCTTTAGACCTTGCCTTATGCCAGGCCGGAGCCTCACTCTGCATGGCTGGGGTTTTCCAAATGTGCCCCATGATACCCAAAACTGAGCCCGTTACAAAGAATGAAGGCTTTGTATAGTTTTCCAGGAGCAAATTGAAGGCTACACTCAATCCTTACTGGAACCTAGGAATGCATTTTCATGACACTGAGAAAGAAAAAAAGAAGCCTAAAAAAAAAAAAAACTCTCATTAAGGAAGGTAGAGGGAGGTATGAAGAGTAAAGTACCTAAGAGCCAAAGAGAAAAAAATCAATCTACTATGCCTGACAGCAAAGCTGCTGCAGCCCTGGCTTTGCAGCTCCACTGGGCCATGACAGAACAGCCGACCCTGTAAGGGTGGCCACCAAGTCTGCAACCACTGGTAAATACATAATGAATGAAATTACATTGCAAATCATGATATAATGCTATCATCTATGGTCTCAGACTGTATGGCCGCTGAGTACTAGAAATCATGAAAAGAGGTGAAGGTCAAGTTAGGATGTAGCTCTTATGTACCCCCTCCCCCCATGCCGGGGCAAGTGTCTCCTTAGCCGCTGACTGACCTGAGACCTTGGGATCATGTATGCATCGTAGCTGGACCCGTAGTACTTGGTCGTAATATCTGGGCTGTAGCCAGCATCACAAGTGCATGGTATATTCGAGCTCGGGGGCTGTTTCTTAGGTCTATACACCTGTGGGAAAAAGCTACAATGGTTAGGTGCAGGAGGGGAGGGCGCAGGGTGCGCAGGGAAGGAATTAGGGGCAAGCAAAGGAGGAGGCTATCTTGACTTTCTGTGACCACAGAGGTGGAAAACCCAGTACAGAAGGTGCACAGCCCCAAACAAAGAGGTCAGATGGAAGCAGCCCCCAACTGCTGTGGCCAGCACTAGCGAGGCATGCTGCTCTGTGGAATGATCCCAATGTCTGGCAGTGACTGAGGCCCTCCCTCTACAAGGAGAGGGGGCCCAGGCATGGTGCTGGTCTCTCTCTGTCTTTCAGCAAGGCAGCCCCCACAGGAAATGGACTCTGGTTCAGGGCTAAAGTATGCCTTTTCCTTCCTGAGGAGGGAAAGGTTTGGCTTCCTCATCAAGGGAAGGCCTTATTAATAATACGTTGAACTTCCCTGCTACTCTCTCTGCACACTGGGCTTAGCACAGACTGCCCCAGAAGGCAGAGAGTCAGTCCAGGGGGTTGAAATCGAGGTGGACATTCAGTATGGCAACCATATGGCATATAGAGAGTTTCAGAGTCGCACATGGTCCTACCCTAAGATAGGGCAGCCACCTTGTGAGGCGATGGACCACTGAGCTGATTGGGTTTCCTAAAGAAGCTGGAATCTCAGTGAGTATCTTTAACCATTCATTCCCAAAGTCCCCAAGTTATATATGGAGGGGAAATAACATCTGAAGACTTCCGGGATGAGTTTCCAATATGTTTCAGGTGCAGTTATTTTCATTTAAGCCACTTCCGGGAGAACCATCCAGAAATCAAACTTCCTACACAAGTTAGGACTGTGCCCCTCCTTTCATTTACCTCCCATGAATACAGTAGCCTCGAGAGAAGGAAACATGGGGTAATGGGGCAAACAGGTGACTTTAAAAACTAGACTGAATAATGGCTGGGGAGGTCTCCAGGCAAAGTCTAGCAAGGCCAAGGTTGGCAGATGTTCCTTGGCTGAAAGGTTCCACGGGTAATAGTTGAAGAACCAAAGCTAGAAGTATACAGAGAAAGAAATCTGAAGAACTGGATGAGGGGAGTTATTTATGGGAGCTAGAGAGTAAGCAAGACAGAAGGTAACAGGTCCAACAGGAAAAAGATGCCCAGAATTTAACTAGGAGTTTCTAGAATCTAATTAGAAGTCAAAGTCCACTGGAAGGAAGAGAGCAGAGAGCTATTTCTAGGGAGATGATGCTAATACAAAAGAAAGGAAAACAGCGCTAGTTGCAAACCACACAAGCCCAGCCACATGCACATAAACACAGAGAAGCAGTAAATGGTATTCCAGCAACCATTTGGGCTATTTTGCTCCTACCTTGTTTTAGGTGCTTGAGCCTGCAGGATGGACATGGGAAAATGAAGAGTGGCTAAACCCAGAGAAAGCACTCAAGGTCCCAACCCCAACAAAACACACCTTCTGTGCAGGAGGCCCCACCTGCTGCTTTAACTGATGCACTAGTCGGTCCTTCTCCCGCTTGAGGGCCATGACTTCCTCTTGTGTCTTCTTCTTTTTGGAGGCAGACAATTCCAACAAAGCAATGTTTGCATCTTTTTCACTGATTGCTGCAAGTAGTGCTTCCTGTCTGGTAAAATAAAAAAATTATGATCATTACTATAGAGTAAGACCCTCAACAATCAGCATGTATACTTGAAATGAGCCACAGAGTACACCTCAATGGGAAAGAATTAATTAGTTAATGTTTGGGATGAACTACCTCATTGGCTCTCAGAAAGGACAAAGTGGTTTAGCTCAGAATCTCGGAGACCTGCACAATGTATCCTCTGACAGAATCATCTTTCAATGACTTCATAGATTTTACATATTAGAAATGAGTACTCAAGATACTTTTATTCATCTATCCATTTACCTCTCTGCCATCTGTTCATTACTACTACCATCCATCCAGTTGTCCATCTGTCCGTCCATCCATCCATCCATCCATCCAAGATTCCACTCAAGTAAAACTAAGGTACCCCAAGACAAACCAATAAGACTGGGCAGCAGTTTCAAAATTAAATGCTTTGTGTTTCGTATATTCAAGGAGTAGATTCATGTTTTACTTTTTACAAATATTTGAAGATACCTGCGAACATGCCTTCCTCTGGCTTTTTAAAAATTAGAATGTGTTGCTCCTGCTTAGTCTGTGATCACTGCTTCTCCAACGGTGCTTTCTCCCCTCTCTATGGTCTAGTCTTGGGCTATGTCCATTAGAAATTTTAGCCTGGAGTTTTCAGGGACAAGCTGGGACTAGAAGATGGCTCCCTAGGGTGTGTTCCATTGACTCTTCCTTTCCACAGAGGAAATCTTGCCCCCACCACTGTGTCACTTCCAACACACTGTAGATAGCCAGGAGGCCCCAGAGCTCCGGGGAAGCCTCCATGCCAAGTACATTCTCTTACACAGAAGTCCCAGGATGAAAGCCTGCTTGTGATCCCATTTTGCCTTTCTTTGATCCTCATCACCAGCCTAGGACCCCCCTCCAGATGTTTGGACAAGAGGGTCATTATTGGGATCTCAGATTTTCCCCCTTTTCCACTACAGGGATTTAGATGGACTTTCCTGGGTCACACTAATACCAGGCGGTAGGAGCTTCTGTCAAGAGGCTCAGGCAGACATGTGAGCAGCAGATCATGTCAGGAAATATCTCCACTTTCCAGAGGAAAACCAGTGCTGGCTAGCCGGCCAGCAGCAGCATTAATATCCTGCTTCACAGAGCCTGTTCCCTTCTGGATAACATCTTGAGACAACAGACAAGCTTGATGCTCAGGCAGTGCCTATTTACACAGAAGGCCAACTGAAGAGGCTGTGCGGACTTCAAATCAGGGAGAGCCCATTTGCTGTCTGCTCCGCATTTAGCTACCATGCACAAGGTGACTGCAACAACTCACCCCCCACCCTAGACTGAAATGTCTAAGTGACATTTTTCTTTTAAAATGGAAATGATTTTGGGTACTTTTAAAAATGATTTAATTTTTTGAAAGGGAGAGGGAGAGAAAGAGAATGCACCAACATGTCCATCCATTGGTTCATTCCTCAAATGTCTACAACAGCCATGGCTGGGCCAGGCTGGGGCCAGGTTGGGGCCAGGAACCCAGAAGTCCATCCACAGTCTTCCATGTGCGTGGCAGAGCCCAAGTACTTGAGTCACAATCTGCTACCTCGCAGGCTCATTAGTAGGAAACTGCATTGGAAGCAGAGTAGCCAGGATCTGAGCTGGCACTCCAACACGGGATGTGGGTTTAACCTGCTATGCCACAAAGCTCAGCCCAACAATATCTTTTAAGATAAATATTGGGAAAATTGGGAGCTGTGGCAAACTCTGCTACACTTGACTCTTTAGAGCTCTTTGTAGCTATTTAAAATGCTGATAAGGAATCTTAATGACATGTGCAAGCATTTGTACTTGTTGAGAAAGAGTTCTCTGTGAGCTTCCCGGGTTTCTGTACATTTCACAAGCATCAGCACCATCTTCTCCACTGAGTCTTTCAAGGATGTTTATGTAGGGAATATCCTTGAAGGTAGATAGGGTACTTCCCTTTGGATCAAATGACAAACATGCTTACTTCCCCATATGATAGGATCTCCTTTCAGAGCAAAGGGCAGACATGTTACTGCCCATTATAAAACATTCAAGTTGCCTGAGCTCTGGGTTGCTCTCTATAATGCAACCAAATGCATTTGCATGTTTACTTAGTCCATTTGCCTCGCACATATGGGACTGGGAGCAAGGGGAATTGATAAAAAACGTACTAATGCTGCTCTCTGCACTGTGAACAAAAAAGTCTTTTGTCTTCTGCCCAAAAGTCACTTGTTATCTCTCTGCATCCATCAAACTGAGGCAGGATAACCTGCTGGCAGACAGTAGGGAGACTTAGATCCTTCACACTTCTAGACATACAAATGTACACGCAACAGATGCAAACATAAAACTACATCCATAAAATAAATGAGAAGGACAAATCCAAGGTAATAATAGTCATTTCACAATGGTGGGATGGATAGGGTCATTTTTAACTTTTTCTGTTTTTATATATTTTTTATTTTTATTTATTTTTCTTTTAGATTTTTATTGATTTGAAAGGCAGAGTTACAGAAAGCGAGAGAGTGAAAGACTGAGAGAGAGAGAGAGGAAGAGTCAGAGAGAGATCTTCCACCCACTGGTTCACTCCCCATATGACCACAATAGTCAGGACTGGGCCAGGCTAGAGCCAGGAGCTAGGAATTTCTTCAGGTCTCCAATGTGGGTACAAGGGCCAAAGCACTTGGGCCATCTTCTCCTGCTTTCCTAGGCACATTAGCAGGGAGCTGGACTGGAAGTGGAGCAGCTGGGACTCAAACCAATGTCTATGTGGGATACTGGCATTGCAGCAAGTGGCTTTAGCCGCTACACCACAACACCAGCCCCCTATTTCTTCTTCTTTTTTTTTTTTTAGATTTATTAATTTATTTGAAAATCAGAGTCAGAGAGACAGAGAGAGACAGAGAGAAAAAGAGAGGATCTTCCTTCCACTGGTTCACTCCCCAGAAGGCCACAATGACTGGGGCTATGCCAGACTAAAGTCAGGAGCCAGGAGCTTCCCAGGTGGGTGGCAGGAGCTAAGTACCTGGATCAACTTACGTTGATTTTACGTTGTTTTTCTCAGGCCACTAGCAGGGAGCTGGACCGCTAAGTGGAGCAACCAGGGCATGAACTATTGCTCATATGGGATGCTGGCATTGCAGAGGGCGGCTGTACCTACTACACCACAGCATCAGCCCCTGCTTATAATTGTTAAAAACATTTTTTAAAGAATTAGTTTGTTAATTTTTATTTATTTGAAATGCAGACAAAGAGAGACAGAGACAGAGGAGACAGAGATCTTCCATCCACTGATTCTCTACCCAAATGGCTTCAACGGCAGGATCGAAGCCAAGAGCTGGGACTCAATCTGGGTCTCCCATATGTGATGCAGGAACCCAAATATATGAGCCACCACTTGCTGCCTTCCCACCCCACCCCACCCCACCCAGTCGCATATTATCAAGAAGCCTCACTGGACGTGGCACTGGAACTTGATACGGGATGCAGGTATTCCAAACAGTGTCTTAAACCACCGCACCAAATGCTCATCCCTGCTTATGCCTTCATGCATTAAGCTTTTTTCCCCAAAATATTGTTAAGAAAATAACATTAGAAAGTTGTAGGTGAATCCTTGCAGTCACTAAGGACACTGGAGGTACATACTTCGGAAGCTTAGCAGAAGTGATATGTGCTAATTTTTCCATACAGGTCACTAATGTTCATTTTGTCCCATGACTTTTCCCATGCATGGCACACACACACACATTTTCACAAGCACACAACAGCCTGTGCAGTCTGTATCACTGCCCACTTAGAAAACTGCAGTACTCTCTAACTAGGCTCCCTTTGTCTGCTTTAGGTCCCCTTTTAACCCATTTTCCTCTTCCAGGAAACTTCCCATGTCCAGAATTTGCTATTATAAAGGCTTTAATAAATATTAAATGCCATCATCAACCCAAACAGTGAAAATCTAAACTCCACTTCCCTTTGATTCTATAATTTGTGTTTTTATGCATTTAACACTTACAATACCATCAGAAGTCACAATAAATCAATTCCTAATTCTCACTTTACTGTAAAAAAAAAACATAAATTAATTTCTAGTTCTTGAAACAATCACTTGGGGAGAGTGCTGTGGCACAGTGGGTTGAGCCGCCACTGGAATGCCTGCACCCCATATTGGAGTGCTGGTTCTTGTCCCAGCTGCTCTGCTTCTGACCCACTTTCCTGCTAATGCACCTAGGAAAGCAGCAGAAGATGCCTCAGGTAATTGGGTTTCTGCCACCCACATAAGAGACCTGGATGAAGTTTCTGATTTCTGTCTTCAGCCTGGCCCAGCCCAGGCTGTTGCCAGCACCTGGGGAGTGAGTCAGCAGATGGAAGATGCCTGTATCTCATTCTCTATCACTCTGCCTTTCAAATAAATAAATAAATCTTAAAAAAAAAAACATAGTATCACCAAATATAGCTCCAGATGAAGTTATTCTTAATTATTAAACTTCAAAGTATATTTAAAATAATTTTTAAGAGATTTATTTATTTATTTGAAAGGCAGAGTTACAGAGAGGCAGAGGCAGAGAGAAGGAGAGAGGTCTTCTATTCGTTAGTTCACTCTCCAAAAGGCCACAATGGTCAGAGCTGAGCTGAGCTGATCTGAAGCCAGGAGTCAGGATCTTCTTCCAGGTCTCTCATGTGGGTACAGGGACCGAAGGACTTGGGCCATCTTCTATTGCTTTCCCAGGCAATAGCAGAGAGCTAGATGGGAAGTGAGAGCAGTCAGGGCTCGAACCGGAGCCCATATGGGATGCTGGCACTGCGGGTGGCAGCTTTACCCAATACCCCACAGCACTGGTTCCTTAAAATAATTTCTAAAAGTTCATTTAAAGTCTGTCATCAACATTAATATTCAATCAAAATAATCAATTTTGATCTTCCTAACTTTCCATATTGCATTTTTTGTTTTGTTTTGCTTCTAGCTAATAAATCTGTTTCATGAAAACTGGCATTATGCAAGTGGGATC